GAGGCCAGGACTGGACTAGGGGGCGCCATGCAAAATTATCCTACTTATATATACCTACATTTTCTTGTACAATACAACAATTATTTCTTAAGAATCAAAAGAGTGGGAGTGGTACATCGATAAAATATGGTGAAGGGGTGGGGCATTTGAAAAAATTGTATCCTCCCAATGAAAAATTGGGAACTGAACTGAAAATTGGAASGGGCTGATATCATACTAGAGTTTTTGCAGTTTTTAAATAAGTTATAAGTGTTAGATAAGAGAGATTTTAAAAAAGTACTTTGAATAAAGAGGGATTCTTTATACAGCTACTGAATAACTACTAACAAAGGTTGGTGGGGTACCTGTGTCTTGTTACCGGGCCCATTCTCCCTCTTATCAAATTTAAACCAAGATGGCGGCTTCCTCGTGGTTAAAACTTTTATGTCGAGGAATAACTTCAAGAATTTACCTAATGGAGCAAAGAATTATATCGAGTGTTACTACATTAGAGCTGAATCATGAAATTGCTCATCAAGGATGTAATACCCAAGCAAGGGATATACAAGAAACGAGAGAAAACGAAGGATTTCTTTGGATGGCTGTTCCAAAGAAGAAAACTACTCCATCGAAGAGAAAGCTGAGAAACCGACACAAATGGCTGAAAAATAGAACAGACATCGAAGTATGTGTAGTTTGTGGTAACAATAAGCTCATTGGTCATTTATGTGGATATTGTCTGGAAAAAGTCAATCTAGAAACTCGTGAACATCGAAAAAATGACAGAGAAGACGAAAAGCACTGGCCTGTCCCAGAKATACTCAAGAAGTTTAGATTATATTAGCATGGATTAGGCATAGAGATATGTTTTATCGGTGTTTGCAGAGAATAATCATGTCAAATGAACCTTATGAATATGTACACGAAACTACTTCATGGATATTAACTTAAATCATCACTTTAATAATTCAAATACCTAGTGCCATGGCATTTTATTTGAAAGGTAGTTGTGCCTTTGCATTAAAGCAGAATGGTTGTTGATCCTAGCAAGCTTGCAGTGATAGATACTGGCCCTTTTTTGTGCTAATAGGTCAATCATTCATTGGCATGGTATTGATAACTTCAAACTCATCTGTTTAACAGTTTTAAAGGTAATGCTGCTTTTCAAGATGGAAATGAACTGTAAAAAGGATCCTGGTATTGACCACATGTATGCAGTCATAAGATTTGCTTTGTAATAAAGTAATGTTATGTGTGATGTATCATGGGGCAACTTGTAGGCAACAGGTGGTATTGTGTAGAAAATGCCAAGTTTCATTTTTTTTCCCTTATTAGACTTGTGGGACATGACATCAAGTGAAAAATCTTGCCTTTCAAAGACTTTGCAGTATTGGCAATGATTACTACAGGCCTTGAATACATAAATAGCCCCTTCCTGCAGATTTCTCAAACCACTAGGGCATCAAGAGAAAKAGCGAAAGGAGAGTAGTTTTCCTTTCTTTCTTATCCTGTTCTTTTACACAGGAATCATGAGAGAATTTGGTTGTCTGAAGAGGAGGCTCAAAGACAATAAAAGTCCAGTCTTTCATAGTGCCACCTTGTCTCATGTTAATGTGGCTTTAGACACATTTGATTACCCACTGAAACATTCACAAGAGAAAGATAATATAATGAAGTCAATAAACCTGTGAAACAAAATTTAACTCTTAAATTGTTGTAGTCAAATTGACGTTAAAGAAAACTGTAATTAAAGTGTACTAATATAAGGTGTATTTGCATGACAACTATTTCAATGGTTTTGACTTCACTCTAAGTCAGCCATGTTCAGATTGAGTCATTCTACCAGTGATACTCAAGGTAAACTATTAAAATAAGGCTTGCAACTAACTAATGATCTATGAATATTATCTCAAAAGTAATTTTATTTATTTCATTTTAAGGGGATTCCAGTATTTTCTAAAAATTATCTCATATCTTTTAATGAAATTGTTATCTACATATTTTATCTATATAAGATAAAATTGTTTAGTCTTCCTTGAGTAAAATGATGTCTACGTTGTCATGTACTCCTTGCAGCAGTAACTCTCCATCATATTTTATTATCTTCTTCTTTTTGGCTGCTTTTAAAGTACCAACAAGAGCTGAAAAAAAAAAAATTTGTTAACACAATGTTATCAAATTGGATAGTCAGTGATTTTGAATTTGAATTAAAATTCAATGACATTTTAAAACCACTTAAACATCTGAGAAGGGTAGAATAGACATGGCTTGAACTAGCCTGAGTATCAGGCTCTCTCGAAGGGGTTTGGGGCGGAGCGAGAAAGGAGAGAGAGCCTGACACAATCTTCTATCGAGAGCCGTGTTCGGCGGCCGTTTCATGGCCGAAACGCTGATTGGTCTAGAGGACAAAGGAAGTGACAGGAATTAAAATATATATAATTATTATGTTACCGAAAGACGCTATGACTCTTGATATAAGTGAWTAACAGTTTGGGAAAGCTTTAATAGTAACCTGGTTGCAGAGGCTTGTCTTTTATTCTTTTTTTTTACTACGTTAATCAAGCCGTTCTTGAATCGGTTTGTTTTTACGCGTACAAAAACAAACCGATTAACGGAAACGTCTCATATAACACTAACATTACACCGACCTATAACGGAGTAAAACRATTCAAGATTATAGTGATCAATCCTCTAGAGTTTATTAGACGTCCACAAGGTTGAGAATCTGGTAAAAATTGGCATAAAAGCTGCGACTTTTCAAATAAATTTTGACATATAACCGCCACATCGAGAATTCAAGCAAACCGGAACAGCTTTTAATTGGCTTAAATTTATTGTCACGCGTCACGCATTGTAAGGAGGCGGAACGGCTTTTGATAGAAGATTGTGTCAGGCTCTCTCTMCTTTCTCGCTCCGCCCTAAACCCCTTCGAGAGAGCCTGATACTCAGGCTAGGCTTGATCAATCTTTTACTGTTGTTTTCATTGGTGCAGTAACAAAAAAGATTGAATTCAATTAGTGATTGACTATAGTCAATCAACCAAAGAGCTTTTGTTTCTCTTGATTGACAGCTGTCTACTGCTATATTTAACGTGTCGTAACATATTTGTATTCTATCTCTAGTTGCCGAGCAAAGCAAATAACAATAAGTTTAGAATAAGTTTTRAAAATAAGTATGTGCATACTGACCTTCAAATATATTAGCACAACGATCATCATTGAATAATACTCCAAACTTGACAACAATGTTTCCTTCAGCATTTGGTGCGCCAAGCCTCTTTAACTCTCCCACCAAAAGTTCAATTTCATGTTGAACATTCATGGTTAAAAGCTTTAACTGATCTATACAAAATAAAAGGTTTGTCTTGAAAAAACACCCCTAATTTAGTATGACTATGATCTATTTCACTTTAAATAAAAAACCTTCACTTTGCTTAGTGAAGCCCTCCCCTCCCCCTGTAGAGATACCATGACAAGACCAAACCCCTCGACGCCCTTTGGGGCAAACACCCTTATATATGCATTGACATTGACGACACGGTCACATATGACTTAAATAAGCGTCAGTTATGAGATATTATGAAAACCAAAATCAAAATTATGCATAACCTTCAGCAACGATTGGACTTATGCGCCTAATTAGATCAATTTTTGAAACGCTTTTATTTTGTCAAACAGAAGTTGTCCCGAAATATTATTTAAAGATATCTATTTAATGCAATGCTATAATCGCAGTCTGCTTACAAAATGTCTCAAAGAAAAGCTATATAAAGCTAACTCACCTTGGAACTTGTGGAAGATGAAGCTGCCTTTGAAGACCCTTCGGAATTTCCGCTGATATAGTAAGCCCGCGATGCTAATTTGTCAGCAGCTAATACCATTACAGGATTGAGATGTATAGAAGGTGAAACGTCATTGTAAAATCTACTTCCCATTCAACACAATATCTCATTAATCCCCACTTGTGAATGACATTTTATTGGCGCAGATGTCTGTATTTATTTTCTAAGCATATTTTCATCGCAGTTCAGACGTTAAAAATCGTGTAAATTTACGTGTAAGATTCATTTCTAAAAGATGACCACAACAAGAAGTACAGGAACAGTTGTTGAAGGAGTGGACAATGATGTCCTATTGGCGTTTATAGCTCTCATGGTAATTACACTTTCAACGATTATTTATTTTCTTAATCTAAACGGCAGTTTAACATCAACATTGGGTGATAGCTGGCTAAATTTAAGGAATAGAATAACATCTATAAATCAAGGTGTTCCTAATGTTCAATCTTCAAGTGGGATTGTCCAAGAAAATGTGGGTAGTGAGCAAGACGACTTCATATCAGGAGATTCACACCAAAATGAACAAACTGCACCTGTTACTGAAGAAGAAAGTGGCATTTCAAATGGAGCAGACATTGAAAATAATGAAAGTCGTGGGGCAGAAGAAGTCCAAGAAAAGACGCAKGGTGATTTACCAGGAAGGAGCCAGGTAGATAATGGGAATGGTATTCGAAATAGAACAGAATTTAGAACAGCTGCTCCACAGGCTGGAAACAATGGCAATTCAGGTTCTCAGTTTTCAATCAGAGTAAAACACCATGAAATAGAAAGGAGTTTCRCTGTTGAACCAAGTATGACTGTTGGTGAGCTAAAGAGGTATACATTACAAACATATCCACGTATTGCAAAAACCTTGTCACAGAGAGAAAGAACATTGTACTTTAGTAACAAGGAATGAATTTAAAAAAAAGAGAAGAAAAAGCATTCAGTCTGGGTGTTCTTCTTTTGTCTTTTAAAAATTCCTTTTTTTCTAAAGCTCAAATGTTCAATTTCTCTTTGGTCACAAGTTTTTGCATTTTAAATTAGGCATGTGCTACATTTATGTAATTTCAAGTAATTTACATTTCATCATCTAGCATTCATAGCAAATGTGTGTTGGAAGGAAATACTCCAGTTTCAAATTCTCTTTTGTATAAGCTTAGCTTCAATCAAGCATAAA